TTAAATTTAATATCATCTGAAAATTTGTTTATTATGGCAATTATATCCATGATTCTTTACCTTTTCTGAAATAAAATTTGTTTTAGTGAAAAGAATCACCATCAATTTTGCTTCTCATTCGTTAATTTATTAACTATAAATTTTATAGTTCATTAAATATAAACAGAAACTTATACATATAAAACTGAAAACACTTCAAAATTATTTTCCAATTCAGAGATACTTTATCTATATTTAAAATTAGATCTAGACTCGCAGTTTTATTCAGTTTTTTTAGTTACTATAATATAGCTTATTTCTAGATATATAATGTAAGATTATAATAATGTTTTGTAATAAAGTATTTGAATTAATAAAGTTTACCAGCAAAAATATTTTTTAAATTAAGTTTGGCAGAAATTCGTTTTATTTTGTCATAAATCATTAAAATTCTAATATTTCTCTAGTTTTTTCTTATTATCCGAACTGAAGATTTAACTTGATTTAAATCTGTAGTCAAAAAAATCTTTTTCGCCAATAGAATTTTATGCTAAAATATTTTAAAATTCTTTAATAAATTCAAGAAATTTTTTTATGGTAATATTAGGCGAAATGTAAAATAAAATATAATATACATTGTCAGTTTTTATACTTATAAAATTATTGTATCTATGTTGCGAAACCATCTTTTCTATAATTTACTATTTTTCCAGGTGACATTTCTTCAGATATCAACAATTCAGTATCTAAAAAATTTGCAAGATTCTTAAATAATCATAACGTCAATATTCAACTTTATACCAGTTTAGAGCAGAATATCATGCGCATGTCTACACTTATTTAAATTTATTTCATTATTTATGAAATTTATTCATTTTTCATTCATATCATATTGTTTTCAGAGTTTTCTTTCATAAACAATGTTGTAATATGTCGCAGTCTAGAGAGATTATTAATGTTTTAAAAAGAGCAAATTGCAGAGCATTTTCCTTAATTGTCCGATTTCTGATTTTATTTTCTAAATTTTCTTCAGCAGATTTAAAATATTATAATCTAAAGAAATATAATAATATTATCTAATATTATGATATATTAAGTTACATTATTTTTAGCATTATTTTAATTTATTTATTATATTTGCTATTGTTACTTTTAATTGCTATTCATTTTTAATTGCTGTTCATTTTTATTCTTCTCTTTTTCTTTGAGAGCAACACAATTGTAGCGAATTGAATTAAGCATTTGTCATGGAAAATATTGACAAGTTCAAAAAATTTAATTTTTCACTAGAAACTGTATAAAGTAAATAATTGACAGGTATTATTTAATGGTATATAATAATATATATATATGCAATTCATAAAATTATTAATAATAGCACTTTTGTTAATTTTTGCAGCATAAAGTATAGAACTTTAAGTTAAAATATAAAAATATAAAGTTTTTGAAATAGCAATATTTTGTCTTAAACTAGTATTAATCTCTCTCGACTATTAAAATTACAGAACATATATTTTTTAATGCTAAAAGTTAGCATGATTTATTATCTTATTGTTATGTTTGTCTTTATAATCATTTTACCATTAGTCACTAAATAAAATATTTAAAATATCTAAAATAATTTTTAATCTTTTAATCTCTCCAATTTTTTTCTCTGAAATCAACATACATGAATAATTTATCTCCAAATGATTAATCACAGACAGACAATTTTTTGCTAAAATTCAAATTGTAATAAATTTTTGTGGAATAAACATCTATTTTCAAGAATAAACACAATTTTTAATACGCGTTTTCTTACTTTGTCCCCTATTTATTCAATTTCAAAGAATTGTATTAATCTTATTAATTTACAAGTTATATCGAGTTAGATCAAAAATCGTGTCGCAATAATAATCGTCTTTATATTATGAAGTTTTACGTTTTTCTTCATAATGAATTACTTTGGTTGCCTCAACAAATTTTATTCATTGATTTATTATCGATAATTTCTATAAAAGTCCGTTTGTATTTTGATATTTTTCTTAAATTCTTCTCTAAGATTTATAATAATTTCTTATATTCTCTGATTCGATATATTTATTTTCTAACTACAAACTTGTGATATTAAATATATTAAATATGCGTTAAACATTTTACATGAGATACAAGCATGAGACCATGCAATTTTCTTGAATTATTGTAATGCCAAATATTTTTTATGTGGAATGAAATAAAATGACGAAAAAAAAAAATCATACATTAAGTTTTTTCAAATTGTAAAAAGATTTTGCTTTAAAAGATTTTTTTTATTATTTAAAAATTAAAATTTAAAAAAAAATTTTTATTTTTCATTTGTTAATTAAAATAAAAACATATCTGAAAAAAAATGATTTTGAAAAAGAAAGCTTCAATCATTCGAAATTATAATATATATATTATATTATAACATATATAATATAATATTTTGATAAAAATTGATGGATTGATAGAATACTAAATGTCTTTCTATCTTTAAATCCTTTGCATCTTTATTTATGAGAAATGTTTATAACACTTAAACTTACTTAAACGTTTATAAATATTAGTAACGTAGAAACATTTAAAAATTAAATTATTAAATGTTAAAAAAATTTTATATAACGCGTATTTTTTAATATTTATTAATTGCAAAATAATTTGTATTTATTGCAAGTCCTTTTTAGCAATTTTTTTTTATATAAATATTAAATATTTCTAAAAAAATTTCATCCTAGTAAAAAAAATATTTATCTCAAAAAAAGAAAAATTTATAGATTTATATAATACTTTTTTATCTTAGAAACAATAGGAAATAATTTTTTTTTTTAGTTTAATCAAAACTTGGCCATCAATTTCCATATTTTGTATAAATATTAGATAATAATTATTAAATTTGAACATAAATTATAGATTTGAATAGCGATATTATTCCGCTATATCATTATTAAGAATTATGCTTCTAGATCACTGATGTTTATACAATACAATACATACTTTAAGAAAATCAAAAATATTGATTTATTTAAAATATGTTAACTTTTCTAAAATTAGATACAATATCTATAATGAGTTATTTTGAGAAATTGAAAGAATTATTTTATAGATATAAAAAAAATTAGTTGGAATCGCAAAGAAAATAAGATCATTTTTGACAACTTTAATGAAAAATTAAAAAAAATATAATTTATATAATACTGATATCAGTTGTACTAAAAATTTTACTAAATTAGCGGTTATCTATGAATTATAATTAATTAAAGATGGTGAAAATTATTTTTTACGACTTTCGATATAAAATTTTAACATATTTCGATGCCTATTCTTTGTTTCAACGTATTTGAATGAAGATTTCAATATACATATTTATAAAAATGATAGATTTTAGACATCAAAATATATAAAAAAAAATTCATCAAGTATATTATATTCCGCTATCGAAGTATATAAGACTGAATGATCAAACTCACTACGTCTTCCCAAATCAACTAAACGATACGAAAATGCAAACAGAATTTATTTTTATTCTTAAAATATATATGTATATATATGGAGAATTATGTTAGGCTACAAGCAAATTTCAAATTTTTTATTTACTTATTTCGAATTTGGAAATGGCTTAATGAAGATTTAGATACCATCGTGCAAAATTTTCATCATAACAATTTTCATGAGATTAAGTGCGATCCAATCCAAGAGACAAGCCATATCAGCGAGAGTAAAAAACGTAAAATTGAATTAAAAAGAAACACATAAACAAACTATTTTACTATCTCAAACAAATTGGAATTATTGGATTCTATCAAAGAATTCATAGAAAGTATCGAAACGTCAACAAGTTGTAAATCGATTCTTCTTCTATCCTTCTATCATTTTTCGATAATATCATCGGAATCCAAATAATGAGCAATTTTTTTAGAAAATCGTAAAGAAAGATAAATATAAACTAAAAATAAATAATCAAGTGCAAATTTTTATCGTTTAATCGGGCAAATTTCTAGGAAATTAAAATTATCTTTAAAAGTATATTAATATATTGTACTGTATTGTAAATTTAAAAGAATCATATCTTATTTCTTTATATCGCAATTATACATATATTAGCATATATTAACAATTTCAATAAAATAATGAACAAGAAATGAATAATAATTCCAAGAATATTTGCAAAAAATACACAAATACACAAAATTACAATATTACAATATCTTGAAAATAATAGTAAATCATGTTTAACACTTACTATTAATATCATCTGGTTTGAATGTCTAACTATAAAACAATTGATACAGATAATACGTTTCAATCTAAAGTATTATCTAAAGCAAATAAAGTATAACGTATTTTTTACATCTTTCTTTCCATTCTATATTGAGAAAGGAATATATGTTAATATTCGATAATTATAGAATTAAGAACAAAGAAACATAAGAAAGAAATTTTCCTCGGAATTAAAAATTATTGTCTTAAAATTGAATAAATTCTATAGATTGTATGTACTTAAATCCTTGCAATTCTGATATTACCAATAATAGATACCCTTACCATATAATTAAACTATAGCCGTTGTCCATCACTTGTCACGCGATATATCAACATTATTACTTTTTGATTTTCATAAGAATCGGTAAATATGGAAAATATTCGAGAAAATTGTGAAAATATTCGATAAGAGAGAGGGAAAAAAAAAAAAGAGAAAAAATAGCATTCAGTTGTGTGGCTGTCGCACACGCGACATTTTAAACATCATTAAAGAATGGACTTCGAAGGTAGTCAATATTATAACATTAATCGAATTCTTATGATTTGCGTCGGTCTTTGGCCGTACGAAAGAACGATATATTCGAAATTATTAAATATTTTCATCTTTTTACTTTTGACCACTGCGATATTTATACAGGTATTTCCTTCAATTGTTACAATTATTAATAAGCATGTAATTGTAAATTGATTATTTTATTTTATTTAGATTAAAATGTTAATTTAATTTTTTCAAGAAAAAAATTCTATTTTAATTTTAGATAATGTCATTCATAACGTTAAAAATGGACATGAGTTTAATATTGACTTTATTATCTTTTACCTCGTGTACGTGTATTTTTATTACGAAATATTTCATTTTTTTATTTTATATTAAAGATGTGAGTATAGAAAGAAACATAAATGAATACTTACTTGCTATATTGCTTTCGAAATTTTCAATTATTTTATTCCAATTTCCATTTTAACTTTTTATCTTAAGAATTAAGATGTTATTTTTATTTTTCACAAATATAGATAAAAGTTCTTTTAGATGAAATTAAAAAAGATTGGAACTCGTTAAAGAATATAGAAGAGCTCCGAATCATTCATGAATACTCTAAAACCACAAAAGGAATAACAATATGTTTCATTAGTAAGCGAAAATTTTTCATTTTCTCCATGATCGCATATCATAATTTCATGATATAATTGAAAATTGTCGTGTTATTCAAATTATCATATCATTCGATTCTTATTATTATCATAAATATTAAAATATAAAATATTTTTTATTCGGTTATTTCAAACACAATCAAATACTAATTATCTGTAGATCTGTATCGATTGCACGTTCGATCAATAATTATGAAGAATTGATCGAACATTCCCAACATATTTATTAATCGTATTATATATTCATTTATAAAACGTATTTTCATCATAAAATTCATCATTGTTTTCTCTTCATCTAACATGTTATTATGAAAAAATAATGTACTATTTTATTTTTATAATTATTAATAATTAATTGATAGTTTTATTTATATTTTCACGAAATGCATGAAAAGTGACACAATATTTTTTTGTTTAATAATAATATTATTACAGTCATTATCGTACCACTACAATTGATATTCTTCTTGAGTATATTCGGTAACAATATCCTAGATATTTTGATTCCTTTAAATCACACTCGGCCGCGGACAGTTCCGATCGTAATTGACTATTTCGTCGATCAACAAAAATTTTTCAATTTTTTTGGTATGCATTTGAACCTTATTACCAGTTTCGGAGGATTAGGAATTATAGCTACTGAAACAATATCTATGGCTATGATGCAACATCTTTGTGGATTGTTAAAGATTTCTAGGTAAAAAGAAAAAAAAAAAATTAAACGACACAAATCTTATTAAATTAAAAAATGAATTATATATTTTAAACACAAATATTATTATTTTTATATTAATTATAGCAATATATTTTATATTAGTTGAAATAATATATAATATAAATATAAATAAGTTGAATAATTTGATACAGTTATTCAATATTTATGGATTAACATTTTTTACCAAGCACTGAATTGTTTTAAATTCGTTATTTGATCGAAATACATATTAACCATTAAACACTATTTCATATTTTCGGTTATTACATAATATTTGTTTAATTTCAATTTATTTTATTTATCTATTATTGTACATGTGATTTTTCTTAGTTTTTTTTACAGCTTCCGTATAAGTCATACATTTGTTGCAAACATACCAAGAGTATCTTTTACAGAAAGAAATATAGTAATTCGAAGAAAAGTGATCTCAATCGTGAATTTACACGTAAAAATCAAAAAGTTAGTATCCCATTATCAATGATAAACAAGTTTCCTAAAGCATAATAATATTTTTTTATAATCACATTAAATTTATTTTTATTTTTCGTATAATTAATTCGTAAAAAAACTAAAATTTCGTTATAATTAATGAAATTGTTTTTTTTTTTTTTTTTTTTGTTAAAGTTATATCAACTGGATTCAAGAAAAGATAATAATATCTTATGATTTTTTGATATTATTTGGTTTGGTTGTATTTAGTATATCCATGTTTGAAGTAAGTATCAAATATGTATGAACGATACAAGTGAGTTAGTTGCAATGATTGATAATCTTAATTATTTTTTGTGTATCTTAGTTTGCCAGATCGGTAACATCCAAAACTGATGCAAATGAATTAATTTCATCTCTATTCTACATAATTTGCATTACTATTTATGGATTTGTTCCCAATCATTTTGCGCAAGAGATAATCAATCACAGTTCTAATATTTTTATGGATACGTGAGTATCTTTAATTCGTCAATATGTTGAAGAAAGATTCTAATAATAATTTCTTAATCATTCATCATGAACGAATTAATTTTAGATACACGAATACGGAATGGTACGAGCTCCCAGTGATAGAACAGAAATTAATATTGTTCATCATGCAGAACAATTTGAAAAATTTTAATTTCGTGTTATTGGGTTCTATGATTGCATCTTATCACGTATACGTAACAGTAATGAAAATAATTAAAATAATAATTAATCCCACTGTATGTGGCTGTTTATCAAAACTAGATCATTTCAGATACTACATACGGCATTCTCGTATTTTATGGTTATTTATTCTATACTTTTAAAAACGGATGAATAATTGATTATAAATAAATATTTGAAAAAATATCTTTTATTCAAGTTTCAAGATATTGATGATATCTTAGGAAAAAGGAAAATAAATGAAATATTAATAATGTAGTATTAAAACGTAGTAAAATAAGATTATTATGTGATATATATATTTAAAATCAATATTTTTTTCCAGCCAATAACTGTAACTTTTTTTTAATTTAATAATTGTGATTTTATTTATTTCTTTTTTTTATTTTAAAGATAAATTTTTGATCGTATGAATATATATTTTATAGGAGAAATAGGTTTAATCATTTTGATTTTGACTTTGATACATCATTAACATTATTTTGTATAATTTTTCCTTATAACTTAATAGATAATCTCTTATATTTTTTGAGATATTTGCAAAAAATAATTGTTATTATTAAATTTCCACAATGTGATACTTATATCATAACTTTAATTTAATTTAATATCAATTTTATATTTATTTCTAAATTGTAGATATATAATTTATATAAACATTATTTTTATATTTTTATTATTTGAAGATAATAATTTAAATAATTAAAAATTTTTAACGAATCAAAAATCATTTTAATAAAATCAATTATATATGTAAATATGTAAAAAAAAAAAAAAAAAGAAAAAAATATAAATTCTAAGAAAAAAGAAAGTTATATATCCAAGAATACGAAAACGTAAGATTGATAGTTGTAAAACAAAAATTTAATAATTAATTAAAATATTAAAAATTACATATTTTTCTGTTTCCTTTATTTCAAATAAAAGATGTATTGATTCATAAATTATTATTTTTTATCGTATGGGCATTTTTTGCAGGTATATCTATTTTTTCGGAATTTTCATTAACAAATACAATAAAATATTATTATGTATTCATACTATATATATGTATATATACAAATCTAAATCTATTTTACAATATATTATATATCATTCTTCGAAAAAGTGGAGAAAATTTAATTCCGTTATTAATTAGCATTGTTCCAAAAGAATTATAAAAACTACATAAGAGAGATAAAAAAAGAAAAACGCAAGATAAAATGGAGAAATATCATAATGCATCATTCGCATTGTTTCTAGCTGATTTTGCAAAATTGTACGAAACAATGTTTAATATCTCATAACGATGCACTTATTTTCGATATAAAAAGCGTATTGCGACAAAATGCGCACCATCCATCCTTCAAACATATAGACTTATAAATACATAGAATGTTCGTGTAATATTTTTGAAGAATCGAAACAAGATAGTATGCAAAAATATTGATTAAAATATTTAAAATATTTAAATTAAGATATTTAATAATATCAATATTAACCACTTATTTAGTTATAATTTACTTTATTTAATTATAATTGAAATTTACGAAGCGATAGAAATATTTCTCTATTTGCTACTTAGCCTCCACTTCGCTTCGATTATTAATTATGATTTAATAATATTGACATTTTTGTAAATCAAATTTTGTGTATTATCTGAAAGAATGATATCGGATGTTAAGAAAAAAATAATCATAAAAATGGATCGTGTGCAAAATTTGTTGATAATTTGTTGAATATTGTGAATAACCAGCTTCTATTAATTATATCCATGATGATACGTCTTAAGATAAATCTTTTCTTCCTTTTTCTTTGTTGAAGAATATTATTGAAGCTTTTCTATTAAAAAAATTTTTTCTTTTAAAGTGATTGTTATCAGTTATAACTTCGTAAAAGATTAGATAATTATTATAATTGATAATTATTATATTATAATAATTATTATAATTGTGAAAATTAAAATAGAAAAAAAGGAAAAAATATTAAGGGATACGTTGTACGATAGTTGTGCAATGACTTGTGTTATTTTTATCTTTAATTTAATAATTTTTCTGACGATTAAAAGAGATGATAGATTTGAAAGTTAGAATCTTGTTAACAATGACCTCTTAAAGCTTCATATTTTGTTGCTTAATTTTAAAATTTAAAAATTATTCTTAGAATATTCATTAATAATTATAATTCATTAATAATTAATAGCTATTGATAATTTCATTTCTTTAAATTTTCTCAATGTGTACAACAAACTATTTGCACAAGTTATTTTATTTGAAAAATTTCTTAGAATTTAATAAATAATAATTTAATAATAAAATTCCACTGAAAAAAAAAAATCAAAGCAAAGAATAAGACGATATAATAGTTTTTAAACAATCAATTTTTCATATTTCATTTTAGAGATAGAGCAAATTTTTTTGCGTCAAGTAATCAAGTTTTGAATTTTTTCGAAAAAGAATAAACAGTTATCATACTTAAATATATCTTCGAGAATGCTTAGCTTCTTTTATTTTTTTTTTTATTTTAATATATTATTTTGCCTCCTTGTTATTATCACACAAAAAAATATCAAGCTACCTCGTATAACATTCCTCTTCCAAACCACTTTTACAATACGAAACTAATTTCATGTTTATATTTAAATTTCGATATCATGTTGTTGTATATTATAAATATACAAAAAACTCAATTTTTCTTTTTGCTTGCTTGCTTATATTATATATTAAATTCAATGATTTATTCAATATTGAAAATTTATACTTCAAATAAAAATTTTTTTCTAAGAAATATTAATAATTTAAAAATTTATATATAAGTTTAAATTATATATGTAGATTGTTTAAGCTTACACAAGCATACATTAAAGTGGCTTACATAATTAAAATGGCTTTCTAATTATTTTATCGAGCAATAATATTTTCTACTTCTATTATTATTATTTCTTCTTTTATTATTATTTTTTTTCTATTATCATTCTATTTATTATTATTATTATTATTATTTATTATTCATAATTGTCAATCAAAGTCTCGTTGATGTACATCAATCGAGCATCAATAATGCAAAACGATTATTGTTGCATATATTCGTGTCGTCTTGAATGCTAATATCAAGATAACGTTTCGATAAATATTTTGTTTCATAAGCGATTTTTTTAATAAATTAAACCTATAAAAACGTACGAATTAGATACAACACGTATGCCATCATATCAACCCCCTATTTAGCCACTGTCTATGCCAAATAGATATAAATAATAGTGTGATACATCCAACCACGAGATCCGTATTACGCAATATTTATGTTCACGATTTCTTAACGAGTGTGGATGATATCGTGAAAGAAACAACCGCAATTAGAGAAAAAAATAGATGTTTTTCTATGATCAGCCGATCTATAATTGTGAAAATAGACGTTTAACCAATCGTCGATTGTTAATCTCCTAAAACAACAAGTGAAACTCATGGTAAGAAATTTGGGTCAAAAACAAGCACTAGCCACTCGTACATTGATGGTACTTTGTTTGGACCGAACGTAAACAATATGAATCAGACTCGTGGTTCAGTTGTTCTCGATATCTTCTTACTTTAGTTACGTGTAATTCTTCGTTATATTCACATTCATTTAGATTATTATAATTACCTAAAAGAATTAAACAACCCTTATAACTATTATATCAGTAAAAACAAAATATAATATTGATTATAGCAGTGAGAAGTGTTATTAATTCGATAAATTCTTCTGATAATGATAGTGATGATAGCGATATTACGTTTCCTGTATAAAAACATCCAAGAAAATTAATCATTGAAGATGACACCGATGATGAAGACAATCATCAATCATCAATCATTGAAACAATGGATTTGGAAAAAAGAAAACAACAAGCCAAAAATCTGTAAAAGTATAATGTTTGACAATGTGTTTTGGGATAATATTGTCATGGAAACGAATCGGTACGCAGTACAAATAATTATCAATGAAAATAAAAGAAAGAAAATTAAAAATGATACTTGAATCTTTATAAATTGTAATGAAATTAAAATATACTTTGCATTATGCATAATAATGGCTCAAGTTAAAAAATCAAAAATTCAGATGAACTGGTCTAAAAGAGCCATTACAAGAGAAATACTGATGTTCAAAAGTGTCACTGAAAAGATTTTTGCAAATCTCTAAATTCTTCCATTTTGTAAATAATGATATGATTGAGGAGATGGATAAATTAAAACGTAAACCTGTGATAAACTATTTTAATGAAAAATTCAAAGAAGTATATGTAATGGAAGAGAATATCGCGATCGATGAATCGTTAATAAAATTTAAGGGATGCACGTCTTATTCAACAATTTAATCCTTCGAAGAGAGCGAGATAAAATTTTATAAACTGTGCGAGTCAGTATCGAGTTATAATTTTAAAATATGTTTAGGTAATGATAAAACAAATTTTGATTACAATGCATCTGAAACTATTGTTGGAGTTATCAAAGTCAATATTACATAAAGGACACGTTTCGTATATAGATAACTGTTTTTAACTTCAGTTGAAAATCGAACAAATGTTGTTGGAATAATACGTTTTAATAGAAAAAATATGCCGAGAAATTTTGTTAAAGCAAGATTAAAAAAGGGGGAATGCAGAATGAGAAGCTGCAATGGCATATTAACGTTGAAGTGGAAGGATAAACAAAATGTCCATATTATTTCTACAAAGCACGAAACTGTAAAAATGACTGAACAAAACGGAAGTTAATTAAACTTTCAAGCCAAAATGTATTCTTTACAACAAGGGAATGATTGGTATTGATCGTCAAGATCGGATATTACCTTGTTTCCTTATTATCAGGAAATACTTGAAAGGGTATCGAAAAAATCTTTTTTTCGATATGGCACTTTTTTAATTCATATATTCTGTCCAACAAGAACAATATGGAAAAGAAACAAAATTACACCGAGTAGGTAGGTATTTCAAATAGCCGAAGCATTATTACAAAACTTAAATATATCAATGAGATTATAACATTGGAGTCATTTTCCAAAACATGTAGATTCAAACATTGAAAAAAAATCGAATAAGAGCTTGTAAAGTATGTACAAAAAGTAAGACATGTGCCTGATTGTTTTGAAAAATATCACACAGTTGAAGATTACTAATTTTCTA